GGAAATACATGTGATAATTTTAAAATATCTGCCTTCATGCTTAAAACGCTTGAAATGAAAATTTGGGTGAAGATTATTTGAGCTATAAAAAATGGGGTTACAATAATAATAATAAAACGATTCGTGTTAATAACTTAACTTATAGGTAGTAATTATTTTGTGTTTAGAAATATTAAAATAATCAATATTTTTAGAAATGTTAATATTGGTATTAGTTTTGGTTTAACTTATGAAATCAATTTACAATTATGCCGGTAACCTGTCCATATGTGATTTCCAATTGCATCTGTATTAGTAGGCTAACTGAAAGAACAAAAGTATTAACGTGGAGAAGAATTCCAACTAGTGTTCCTGTTAGTTTGGTACGGTTTATTTAGTTACGGGGAGATTTTCTTAACCTCATTTTTACTTGACCGTGATAGAATTTAGTAATACTACTAATACACATGAATGGTTATCAAAACAAAATTTAAATAAGTGATTGATAATTATATGAATTTTGGACAGATAGCTAGGAACAAATCGTCAAACATGAGTGTATTCGTAAGAGACATGCTCTAGACTCAATGTTCTGATCTGTGGCAGACTATTTATTTATATTTATACTTGCCGCCTGATTGGGCATACAAGTTAGTTGCAAGTATGCAGTTTATCATAAGACGGAATACGATTTAATTGAGATATAGTGGTTATAAGTTATTAAAATCAGTTAGGCCTGTGTCATATTACGAAGTGATGTGGTGCTGCCAGATGTATTTAGCTAAATAAGTTTTTACAAGATGATTAATAGTGAGTGATGCTCATGTGATTATCAGGGAGAACATAAGTTGTAACCAGGGGGAGTACACTCCCAACTCATGTCTATGATAATGGCTTGAACCTTAGGCAGTGTTGGGGTTAATTCGACATTGATGTTTTCAGTTTGCAGGAGATTTGCTCGACTGCTTATACTGATTATTTGCATGCATGATTGTGTCGCTAAACCATCAATTAGACTGACAAGGTTTCGAGATATTTACTGAGTGAGCATATGATAGAGAAACATACTGTAATCATCTGTAGTGAATGAAGATAAAAGAAAAACAACACTAGTGATAATTATAAGTCAATTTGCTGACCGATTTTGTTAATAGTTTCATTAATTTTATCAATCATATTACGTGATCGTCAAGTCATGACAATGCTTTATGACGATATCCTGAAACTATTATGTTTAACTACCTTGTAGCGTGGCGTCGAGTTGAGATTAACTATGAACACCGCTACCAAGAAACACGTGCCAGACAAATCAGAAGGCGAGGTTGAATGTAACCAGATTTATTTCGTTGGCGATCTCGTGGTATTGAACGAATACCGAGATCGTGCCAAGAAGTGGTACAAGTGGAAGCAGAAGACAGGAGTACGTGCGAACAGTACCAAAAACCGCGGAACAATGATGGAAGGTAATGGAAGCACAAAATGGCTATAATTAGCACAGTTAAACAAAAGCACATTAAAACAAACACTGGTACAGTTGGTTATAATAATAATTGTTTTTATTAAACCAGTCGTGTTCTCGTGATAAATGTGAGTCACTACAGGAGCCCCCCGCTAGAAAGGGTTTACACTTTCGATAAATAGCGGTTTGAATCGTGGGACTGATCGGCTGACGAGCGATTGTAGGACGGAAGAATTGGCGAACAGGAAAGCGATCGTTGATCGTCGAGTTGCCAACGTAGGTCGTTTTCGGAGAACGGTACCAGGAGCGATGTGTTGTATTTATTGTTTGAGTTGGCATGCTACACCAGAGTGGTTTGTATCCAGAATCTGAAGATGGCGTTCGTAGGGGTCCGGACCAGAAACGCTGCAGACGTAGGACGAAACCACGTTGATCCGATGAACCAGAAGCGACCATAACGACCAAGTTCGAGACCAAGCGTGTGCCAAACATTCGAAACGAAGATATCGACTGAGTACGTTGACAAGAGCGTGGGTGATCAGGCCAGCTTTCGCCAAAGTTGACTGAAGTCGACGGAACCAAACGGAGATGGTCGAAGGCGTGGGCTCAGGAAACAAAAAGAAAATCAAAAAAGAGAAGAGTGTAGCATAGTGAATAACGGAATTAAATAAGCCAAATACGAGGATGGATTTTGAGTGTGTATATTTCATGCATTCATTTATTTGAATAGGCAATTGAGGAATGGAGCGAAGCGAAACGATCACGCAATGGAGAAGGCATGTAAGCCAACCCCATTTAATCAAGCGTCAATCAATATTTGTAGTCACACAAAATTAAGCTACAGGCATGTTGTGAATAGTATAAGAAGGGCACACACATACGCGCTCATATAAAAACAATCAGGGTTGATAAGTGAATAACTACCAAGCTCAAAACGTGACTCAAGAAGAATGGATAAATAGGCCTTGTCCGAAAGCGAGAATAAGTTTTATATGGGCAAAACATAATAACCGACACTACATTAGGATTCATCCAATATTGTGAAACTAACTGAAGTTGAAAATGTAAAACATTAGATACTAATTTAGTGGTTTAAAGTTAACCATCTATATGAAAAATTATAATATTAATAGTAAAATTAGCCTAAATTATACTATAGGTGGTGGGATCAGATCAACACTATCTATGAGAAACTCTTTATCAGGAAAACAATTTCAAAAGTAATTTTAAGAATTCGTTTACTATTCATAATTAATGTAAAATATTATCAGAATGGGAGGAGCCCCATACCAGGACGAACGGCCGTCCAGTGATTCCAGGTTTTTCCATGGTGGGCTACCTTCAATTGACTCATGATTTCAACCTGTAAAATATTATCTTACTTTTTGATATAATGGAAAGAAAAGTCAAAATTAGATTGATTTACTTATTATGAATTTAGTTCAAGACTACTTCCGTTTTAATTCAATGTAATGATTACTCAATGTAGTATTTGTTTTATTCTCTCGTATGATATTTTATTCTGTATAACATACATATTCTTGTATTCGATTCACATGAACTATGCTCAGTATGTGATTTGTTATAGCTCTAAGCATTTTTCATATATGTGATTTCATCCTAATTATTAATCAAAATATATGTACAATCAATACATAAATGAGTGTATTTTCCACTAGCGTTGTCATCATCATGTTCTGGGTTAATAAATGATCATTTATACCAGTCTTTGTGTTCTTACTTTCGCGTCGTGGGAATTGCAGAGGTCCCTCGTTCCGAGTATAAGTGATAAGCGTTTCCGACATAACAATCAGCGACGACCAGATACAAAACGTAGCATTAAAAGAGCCAAGACAATAAGCATTCAAACGAGAAATTATAACACTTTTATTTTCAAAGAATAAATTCTGAAAGTTCAATCAATAAAACCATTTTATCAACTTTTTGTATACTGTTGACGTAGACGAACGAAGAGATTCTGAATCCTGTTACTTCTATCAGTATTTATAAGTCTTGTAATAGCAACTATATAAGTAAAACGAATAAGTAAGTCAATCCACACATTTTCGAAGACCGTTCAAAGTAATGAGATAACTTAATAAATCTGTCAAAAGTTTAATTCCCTTTCATTTTGTTCATATAGAGCACAAAAGTGATAAAACTGTGCTGTTTATAATCATCTATGGAGTCTCAATAAAGTATCTCAGGTTTGATCATCTTCGTTTTTTCAGTTAGTAAAGGTTATTGACATTAGAATTTTTTCAACTAAATTAACCTATGAAATAATCATTCTTTCAGTCTTTTGCCTGTTAAAGGCATCATAATTACTTGCTTCCTTACGCCTGTTACCCCCAATGGAGCATAGGCCGTCGACCAGCATTCTCCTAACCACTCTGTCATGGTCCTTCCTTTCTAATTCTATCCAGTTGTTCTTCATTCTTCTCATGTCTGTCTCCATTTCTCGGCGTAATTTCTTCTTAGGTCTTTCTTTCCTCCTCCTTTGGCCTTCAGGATTCCAAGTGAGGGCTTGTCTTGTGACGCAGTTGAGTGCTTTCCTCATTGTGTGTTCTATCCACTTCCAGCATTTCTTCCTCCTCTGGGATCTGCTTTGATCTCTCACACAGTAGGTCGTTGTTGATGGCGTCCGGTCAACAGATCCGAAGTATTTTGCGCAGACAACTGTTAATAAACACTTTTATCATCTGGATGATGGCTTTTGTAGTCCTCTAGTTTCCGCCCTATACAGTAGAACTGTGTTGACATTTGTATTGAAAATTCTGAGTTTGATGTTGGTTGACAGTTGTTTTGAGTTCCAGATGTTCTTCAGTTGTAAATATTCTGTATCACCTACCTCTTGATTATAACAATATTACAATATCCACTGTAATTATCAATATACATTTAACTAGTCTAATGAAGAATTTATTAGAAACAATTTTTTTCACTCAAATACTTGCTGACTTCAAAAACTCCATCAAGATTCTTTAAACCACTTCAATCAAATTAGATCCATAAATCGTGGGATTTTTGAATTTCGAACAGACTCACTTATTCTGTGCGCTTATGTTTTGTTAGAAAAGTCAAGATTGTTTTACCTCTTATGTTAAAAAAAATTGAAACTGACTAGACTGGAATCAATCCATCTCCATAGATAAAACTCTCTTGGAATAACAACTCGAAATATTTCTTTCTTCTGTATTATATAATATTGATATATAACGTTGCTAAGGCAATAACAATTATATAATGACTTTTTTTTCAAATTATAATGAACATAACATTAAAAAAATATACCATCTATAATAATACACACATTAATACGAGTATCAGATTTGTTTTTATTCTCTTAATCCTGTGACCACAAAGCAACCAATAGAGTTGGTTACTAACATTGATCATAACCAATAAGAATTGAATAGAAAGATATGAGTAAATAATAGGTGAAATATAATATCATTATAATTATCATCAAATAGAGTAATCATATTCATTTAAACATTATTCATACATTAACTTGGATTTCTTAATAGAAAGAAATAATACAATCCATATTTCATATATCTTATTATTATTATTATTATTATTATTATTATGAATCAAACAAGTAAAAAAAGAAGAATATGTCTTCCAGTAGATGGAAGTGATCATTCTAAACGTGCAATTGAATGGTTTATTAAAGAAGTTTATCGACCTGGTGATGAAGTACTATTTGTACATTGTCTAGAATTACCATATTTACCAACAATTAGTTTAACATCTGGTTTAAAAGTACCTATTGATGATTGGACTAAAGCACTTCAAGAAAAGTAAGTTATTTTATTCTTTATTAATGTGTACATTTTATATCGGTAAAAGATTCAAATGAACTTCTTATTTAGCTGAAATATTGAATAATTTGAAACTAAATGAGATAATTATATATATATATATATTATATATTATATATATATATATATAATATTATATTATATATATATATATATATATAAATCTGATCCTGGATACTGATATTTCTTTTTGATAATATTTGGCCCCCGAATACCCTGGTACGGCTGAGGGTGAGGAGAGTCCGTTCTCTCTCTCGAAATGCTCTCATATGGCCACATGTATACAGTTACTGCCACAGAAGTTCTACTTACTACCTTCTCGTGGCAGGGATGTTGTATACGAAATCAAGAGGACGAAAAGCGAATGTCCGGCGCTTCAACCAAGTTGATGAATATGGAGGATCTAACTAGGGCAGTTGCAAAACCCCGACTCCATACCAATGGTGCATATTAGCTCCAGGATCCTGAAGGAATAAATGGCGTATGAACCAATTGTTGGTGACCGTCGATTATGGGACTGCATTTCCTGACGTTGATCCACTGCCTTGTGGATCAGACATTTAGGTCAAAGGCTCCGGGTGTGGTCCCCTAAGGAAACCACCTGTTTCGGTCTGGGCACCGGGCAGTATCATAGCTCATACATAAATCAAGTGACTTTTGTGGTGCATCTATTTTCAGTACCCCTTTGTACCAATATTTATGTGTTCAAATAAATAAATGTCACCTAACACATATAATATTATAGAGATAATACAAACTACTTTGTGATATGTATGTATAATCAATATCTTATGTTCTAATACACAAGAAATGAATAATTTGACATTATATACTTTTCTATAATACACAATATTTTATTCAATAGAATTTAATGATTAATTTAAAGAAATCATAAAATCATTAACCAAGTAATGAAGCTTAGTTCAATCCGATTATAAAATACCATACCATAAATGATCCAAAAACTATATGAATGACCAGTTTTTGAATTATGAACTATCCTTTAAATAAAATTAAAAAAAAGGAAACTGCTATTAGATCTTATCGTTAATTGATTATGGACAAGATTACATTTCTGATGATTCACTAATATTTAATGAGTTGATTCAGTGTACATTCTAAACAAAATGTACTATGTTTGTGACGTTAACCAATGGAGTTCAACTGGGTTTATTGTGAGATACTAACACATTGAAGACAATTGTGGACGGTGGAGCAATTTTGTGAATTGGTTAAAGTTAGACATTAACGCGGTTGGATGCCGGCCGTCTCAGTGGTCTAGAGGTTAAGCGTTCGTGCGCGCGAGACTGACAGGTCCTGGGTTCGAATCTCGTGAGGCGGGGCCGTGGACGCACACTGTTAAGGAGTCCTATACTAGGACGAAACGGGTATCCAGTGCTTTCAGGTTTTCAATCGCGATCTTACATTCATCCACCACCAATTTTTGAATACTTAAATTCTTAGTTGACGTATTTTATCACGAACTGATTATAGCTAGACTGTCATTGGAAACCAGAAACACTAGACAGTTGTTTCAGCCTGGCTTTGGACCACTCAGCAGTGTGCATCCACGACTTAGTCAGAGGGAATCAAACTCAGGGCATTTAAGTCTCATAAGTGAAAGCTTAAAGTCTAAACAACTGATCCGGCATCCAGTGGTATATATTTCTGACTAAAATCAATCTATGACATTGTGCACCCATCTTTCGTTGTCGTCAGTGAGTTACTTCCACATACCCGATACATATTAACTTTATTGGTTACAGCAACTTACTAAGACTCCAAGAGGAGGCTAGTCACTAGTGAGCACATGATTATTATTATCATAGATGTTTGTGAATATTTTACAATTTTTATGGTTGTAGTCACGAACTGATCTTAGCTAGTTAGTAATGTAAGCTGATGAGGAGTCCCCTACTAGAGCAAACAACTTTCCAGGTTTCCAATACATGATCTAAATAAGATAAGTGAGTGACTTAAACTGTAAAACTTTCACAATCTCCACAAATCCCCTATACCACTTATACAATTATCAAAATAAGATACAGGAAAGACAATAACAGATTACAGTTTTTAAGTCTCAGTAATTACATAACCAAACTACTTTTTGATGCACAATTTAAAAGGGATTTTAATATTGATTGACTATAATTTTATGTATCAGAAGTGGTTTTGTGGAGATTGTAGTAATTTCAATAGTTGAGATCATGAGTTAATTGAAGTTAGACCACCATGGAAAACCTGGAAGCATTGGATGGCCATTTCGTCCTATTGTGTGACTCCTCAGCAGTGCGCACCCATATTACTATCTTCTATCTTATTTCTAACATTTAAGAATAAAACATTTTAGTCTTTTGACTTTTGAATTAATTTTAACAAACTATTTAATTTGAAATTAATTCTTCTGTATGAAAAATATAGTTGGTTTATAGATAACAGAATATCGATGGTAATTTAATGGCCTGGAATCTGACTCCAGTTGGATTGTATGACTGATCATTATTGAGATATACATGTCGAAATATATATCGTCAATTCTCGTATATAATCATCGACTTGAGTTAGTGTATGATAGAATTAAATAACTAAAATATGAAAATGAATTTCGAATGTGCATATTTCATTAAATCGTTGATCTGAACAAAGAAACTATCGAAGAAACGAAGCGAAACGACATGCAGTGGAGAAGGCATGTAACCCAACTTCATTTAACCAAGCGTTAATCAGTATTTACAGCCAGATATAAATAGGTTACAAACATGTGATCAATAGTATAAAAATGTGCATATATACGCTCATATAAAACCAGCCAGGGTTGATAAATGAATCATTAACAAGGTCAATATGTGACTCAAGAAGAATGGATAAATAAACCTGTCTAGAAACTAGAACAAGTTATATGGGTTTAACATAGTAATTGGGACTACAGTATTGTAGACAACTTTAGAGAAATAAATCGAAGGTTTGAATGTTAGATGACTTATCTAAGTTAAATATTATATGATTTTAAATATGATATACATATATAAGATCATGTAAGCATTAGATGAAATCCATCATATACATATAAACAACTGGTGATATCAGTTTAATGTGTAAATAGTCTACTTTATGGATTCACTTGGTAATTAGTAATAGATGGAATATAGCCGTGTCAAGATCAGGATCAAGACAGATATGATCATAAACGGTACCGAATGATAAATGAATTATATCTTGAAGTGCTAATCATTTAGCTTTGAGTCAGTAATATAGATGATGATGCATTCATAATGACAACTTATAAACTAGATTTTGCTTTGTGGCTTGAGGTGACTATAGACGTTAGGTAATACTGTTATATTTCAGTTTTAACTGACAAATGGAAAAGAAGAAAAATGTAAAACAAATGATGAAATAATGAATCAGATTAGATTGCAGTGTGCCATTTTGTGGGAAGTGATGTGGAGAATCAGTTTTACTATATTTTATAACTATACTGTTGAACTACTATAGTATAAATCATTGTTAGAAACATTAGACCAACACTTTCGCACATGTTTTAGTTTAGATTTTAGTGAGTGCTTCCAGCAAGATCATCCTTTAGTTTCAGTATATCTTTCAAATTGTCCAATTTTTAAAGTAGTTTGGATATCTATATAAATTATTGTCTATTGAAGCAACCGAAATTATACGTTGAGGCAACTTATAATTCAAGGAAGAATTCATTCCTAGTACCACAAATTATCCGTTACATCCTGTGAGGTAGTATTTGATTCTTATATTACGTAATTGACTATTAACTAATAGAGATTTGAAATTCTTGTTGATGAGCTATTTGGGATAATGATGAAGCATTCATTGTCATTCTGTATCACATCTTCGGTGCTTGCTCCAAATTTATACAAACTGATTCTTAACACTAAACATGGTGTACAGCAAATAGCAGTGAGATCGTAAAATGTAATACGCAGATAGAGTGATAACTTGAGTATGAAATTTGTCATAAGTTGTCTCATAATTTCAAAAAAAACTGTTAGAATAAAAAACTTATGAGTGAATTCAAAGAGAATACCACATGAGTGACCGATTACATGAGAGACTGATTATCATGATCGCTAAAAAAGGTTGTCAGACTGGACTTTAATTTATCTTCTCTTCGTTGGTACCTGAAAGGTTCTTTCAGCTTGCTATTTTGATTTCATGTTTCTTTAAGTGAATCTGGGAAGGTAGTTAAACTGATACAGTTTTGATCTTGTAGAGCAGTCCACGTAGACCTCAAAAATATGCTCTTTACAAGCCCATTTACCATTCGAAGCTGTAAAAAACCAAATATTAAACATTTGACTTTATTCTTAAACAATAACTAAAGGTAGATTATATTATAGTACAATAAATAAGTAAGCTATTTGCAAAGTTATGACTACAGTTTTAGGTAAACAAGAAATAAACTAATCGATGAAGCCTTGAATTTACATCAAAACGGCCTATACCAACATAGATTGCTTCCTCTTCTATGAAATCTTGAGTTTTAATGTTACTTAACATCTCATATTCCTCAGTTTTAACCATTCATTTTAAAAACAAATATTTTGTAATGACTATGTGGTGCTTATTATTTATATCTGTCAGTTTGGAGACCATATGTAGCTTAGGTTGATGAGTTTGATTGTGTTATATTCAAGTGGATCAAATAGCTTAAGTTCACCGTCGTATTCAACGGAATCATCATCAGCGCTTCCTTCAAACTGGCATATATATATATATATATATATATATTTATATATATATATATTATATATATATATACTTTCATTTGTCTTGACTTTTCATTAACACTGAGATTAATTCATATAATCAAAATGAAGTATTTTATGTTCAGACTAAACTAATAACATAAATATTCAACAACATTTGTTTTCATTACTGATGATATACTACCGATTGTTACAATGAATGTATGTTTAAACTTACATTAACCTATTATGTTGATCTTAGAT